ATCTCCAAGGTACAATTTATGCCCTATAGCTGTTAACATCAATATTGGTGATATCATATCAAGTCCATTAGTGTATAGTTTGAAGTTAAACTAGAAGTAAATAGAATCACCTTTCAACAATGACACTGAATATTGATTGATCAAAACAATAAAATGAATGAAGGTCCTAACTTAATAATCATTACAAGATTAGTATATTCTGAATTGTATCACATTCTATCATATTGATAAATCTTCTGATTGAATGCTTGAATCAGTTTCTTCTAATAACCCAAAGCTAAATCTACACAACAATGTGAACATCAAAGAAAAGGTGCTAAATCTGGAAAGAATGCTTTACTCCATGGTTAGCTTATATACAGACAATTGGAGATATTTACAGTATTTCAGATAGCCTTGATCTACTGGAAACATCTGAAATCCTATTCAACATAATAACAGGATATATAATCATTCAATCAGAAATGTCACACGTGACTTTTCACTTTCTAGATGTCTCTGAAAAACGTCTATTTACAGCTATTAGAATAAAATGTATCCCAGCATTTTCAGAGTCCTTCTGGTCTCTCCCTCAACACACAAAAACTGAAATATCTCTCTGATGATTTGATTTTTAAAATACGTTCTCCATTATTTTACTAGATAAATCAGTAATATTCAATGAGAATATTCCTCAGGCGTGATACTATAATTCATGGACAATCTTTGGAAGCGTTCATCTAGTAACTAGGACTAAATGAGGGTTATAAACCAGTTTAAGGTATTAAAATTGTGATTTACAATTGATGATTAAGGTTAAGAATTAGATTTCAGGGTTTTCATCATGAACTGACATTAACTATAATACAAAAAGTCTATTTTTAAAAAATGGATAAATGAATTTCGCGCGAAAAATTCCAGACTTGTTATCTTACACCTGATTGGTTCATTCATAAATTAGAGCCTCGCCTCCCCAGATTAAATCAATAAACGGAAATGGTTTTTTTTTTGTTGTCTCCTATCAACTACCTTTTTTTGTAGTTTTAGTAGATTAGTTAAAGCAATAACCAGAAAAGAAACAAAAAAATCTATGCCAGAATTAATCCACATTTATGTAAATATATAATACATAGGCATAGATACAAAGATGTAGACGTAGACCCCCCGGTAACTAAATTGAAAAATTCTATTGGAGCCATTCATAATTTACTAATAATTATTTTATGATTAAAATACATCATTATTGAAGAAAAAAACTGGTGACTTTATAAACAATGTGTGGACAATGACTAGTAATGGAATCTAGTTTGATACATGTCATTTCGTCCTATTTGAGACTCATCAGCTGGATGTACCTGCATCACAGACTTGTTAATGTGTCGTGTTTGTTTGTTTGTTTGTTTGTTTGTCTTTCATTCGATTTTATGAAATGAATATTCTTAGATTCATTTGCTAATAGAAGGGGTTTTGTGGAGATTGTAGTAATTTCAACAGTTGAGATCATGAGTCAATTGAAGGTAGACCACCATGGAAAACCTGGGGGCACTGGGCGGCCGTTTCGTCCTATTGTGGGACACCTCAGCAGTGCGCATCCATGATTCGAACCCAAGGCTTATCAGCCTTGTGCCAGGCGCTTAACCAACTAGACCACTGAACCTACCGGCATCCAATGGTTTTAATCTCTAACTTCAACTATTCCACGAACGACACATCCACCATTGTCATCAGTGATTTACTATCTCACAACTGACCCGGTTGAACTCCATTTGGTATTGTTTACTTGTATATTCCTATTGTTGTTAAGAACTGCAATTGATCAGTCTCTTATTAGCATATATACATCCTGTACGGGTTGCCTCGATTATTGCCTTATGTTACAAGCTTTTTAAGCAAAAGGATTCTTGAATGTTTTGATTATGTAACTGGTTTAATTCAGTTGAAGTGTAGGGAACCTGACATTGAATAACTTTAATAGCTGAAATCATCGGGAAAAAGAAATGAACATTTTCATAGTTCCAGCTGGTTCAACAAAATGTACAGTAGTGTCGTCAAATAAAGGTCAATGATCAATTTAATAACAATAACGATAGATTAAAACTACTGATGATAAAATCTATTGAAATGATTAGAATAAAACTATACAACTTGATTAGTTTCTTTTTGATGGAGTTTTGTTCTCTGAGCTGGATGGTTTGGTTGTGGAGCTTTAATTGTTCTTCTAAACGACATCATCAGCACAAACTTCAGATAGAAGTGAAGTGTTCGAATTTCTCCACATGTGGTTCATAGCTTATCCTGTAGACCTCGATGTTGATTGGTTCTTGTTGATCCTAAAACTGTCATTGTTTACTTACTTGTTTTGACTGTATCTCCCATTAGTTTGATTTTTGTTCCTATGTTTGTGCACAAGTTTCCTGATTGGTTGGTAAATTGGATCGATTTCATTGTGCATGTTGATTACTGATTAACCTGAATATCAAGCCCCCAAAACTTACCTGGTGTTTTTGAAATTTCATCTTTCCAAAATTCCCACATTTTATAGTCAAATGAAAGTCCTCAGTTGTCCACGTTACTTACTTCCTTACGCTTGTTACCCCCCCCCCACCGATGGAACATAGGTCATCGACCAGAATTCTCCAACCCACTCTGTCCTGGACCTTCCTTTCTACTTCTATCCAATTGTTGTTCATTTTTCTCATGTCTGTTTCCATTTCTCGGCGTAACGTATTCTTTGGTCTTCCTTGTCTTCTTCGGCATTGAAGATTCCATGTGAGGGCTTGCCTCGTGGCGCAGTTGGGTGCTCTCCTCATTGTGTGTTCTATCCACTTTCAACGCTGCTTTCTGATTTTGGTTTGTTTTCTCCCAAAGTAGGTTGTTGCAGTCAGTGTCTTGTCAACGTATCCGAAGTATTTTGCTTAGACAACTTGTTAATAAACACCTCTATCTTTTGGATGATGGCTTTCGTAGTTCTCCAAGTTTCCGCTTCATACATTAGAGGTGTCTTGATATTTGTATTGAAAATCCTGACCTTGGTGTTAGTTGATAGTCGTTTTAAGTTCCAGATGTTCTTCATTTGTAAATACGCTGTTCTTGCATTGCCGATCCTTGCCTTCACATCTGCATCAAATCCACCCTGTTCATCAATGATGCTCCCCAGATATGTAAATGTTTTTACATCTTCCAAATCTTCTCCGTCAGGTGTGATTGGGTTGGTGCATGCTGTGTTTTATCAAAGAACCTTGCTTTTCCCTTTGTGTATATTGAGACCTACTGCTGCTCAGGCTGCTGCCAGACTGGTAGTCTTCTCCTTCATTTGTTGTTGCGTGTGAGATAGAACTCCACTTGGAGCTCCTCTGGGGCTACTGCCGGTTCCAAGCCCGGATAAAAGAGGAGGGTTGGACATGGGGTTAGTAACCCAACCCGTAGAAAACTATCTCGCTAAAAGAACGCTAACTAGTTGTCCATATGCATTGATATAAGTGAGGAAATGTCATGGCGCTTGACTGCTAATTGATGTTCATGCAGGCGAAGACGACGAGGGTGTGCGCTTTGTGCTGATGATGTCGTTCAAAAGAGCGATGAAAGCTCCACGACCAAACCATCCAGCCCAAAAACAAAACTCTATCAAAATCATCCACCTGAACTATAAATTTTCTCCACCATCTCAAAACCTAAACAGTCTTTACAACAGACTTTGTCATTCCTTGGAACTCCAAAGAATAGAATAGAATATTGAAAGATCTAATCGAAGTATATGATTATTCTATGCACTGGTCAGTGAAGATCAAAAACTCCTTACTAGACAATAATGAAAAAATTGTATGCTTTGATGTTACAACCTTTTTTTCCTTACAACGGCTCAGCAACGATGAAAAACACGTAGAATACAAGTTTAATTGAACTGATCTATGTTTCAAAACATTTTTCCAATACAATATAACCGCGAACAATGTAGTACTCATTGTGAAATACGTTAAGCTGAGTTTTAATCCTCTGAAGTATTATTGCTATGAAATTCCAATCAATTGACCAATAATCTTTCAAAACTTTTTTGTTTTACAATGAATCTTTTAATGATTTCAATCAGTTTAAAAGAATTTAACTCAGAATTAAACATATGGTATGTACCCCCAAATTCTCTGGTACGGTCGAGGATTAGGGGAGTCCGCCGTCCCACTCAAAATGCTCTCACATGGCCGCCCGTATACAGACACTGTAAGGGAAGTCCTACTCACTGCCTTCTCGCGTTATTATTATTATTATTGATGAAATGGAGAGGAGGAAAAGCGGATGTCTAACACTTTCACCAGGTTGGTGGATATGGAGAGTTCACCTAGGAGGGGAGTTGGAAAATCTTGATTCCAAATCAATGGTGTATATGGAAACCATGACTTATGAATTATTTATTGGTCCCCGACCTCCATGGGATTGCATTTCTTTACATTACTCCAATGGCTTGTTGATCGGACCTTTAGATCGAAGGCTTCGGGTGTGGCCCCGTAAGAAAACTACCTGTTTCGGTTTGGCCACCTTGGCAGCATCACATCCTACATACAAATCAAGTGACTTTTGTGGCGCATATGTATTCGGTTCCCCTTTGTGCCAATATTTGTGTTCGAATAAATAAATAACAAATGGTATAATACAAAATATATCTCGAATAATTAATTAAACAATGATGTTTATTTCGTCCTAGTATGGGTCTCCTCGGCAGAGTGCATCCATGATCCCGCCTCATGAGAACACTGAACCGGTATTCAGTGATGTTAATGTCAATCTTCAGCCAATCCACGAAATTGAGCCATCATCCATCATTGTCTTCAGTGAGCAGGGTCGTGGATGTCTCACTCCTGAGTACCATTATACTAGGACGAAGCGACTATCCAGTACTTCCAGGTTTTCCATAGTGATCCAACTTCAACTAATTCATAAAATTTAATTATTAAAATGACTACAATCTTCACAATCCCCACTCTTCTCCCTATCTGATACATTTTATAATATAGATTGTATTGACTTACCACTTTCAGCTGCTTTCCATAAACCTTTTTTAAAGATCATTTTTAATTTACGTTTCTTTTCAAAATCTGTCCCGAATACAGTTATAATTAATGTAGGTGGTTTTAAACCCCATTTACGTTTAAGAATATCACGTAATACAGAATCTGGTGTATCACTATTTAATTTACAAAACTGAATAAGAAAAAAAGAAGAAGAAGAAAAAGAAAAGAGACATGTCAATACATATTCTATAATCGATTTGATATGATCTTATTGAAATCATGAATTCATCAATAGTATTTGATCTAAACTAAGAAGAACTTGACATAGATGACAGTGATCACCTACCACCCAGTGATCAATCAGTTGTGAATATATCTCAGTCCTATAGGAGGTCAGTCGTATGACGGATAGTCCAGTGGTAACGTCTCTGCGTGTGAAGCTGTGTAACACTGGAGAATCTGTTCCCTCAAGATTACAGGTACAGCCTACTGGCGAGTGCCGAATAGCACGAAACCCGGGTTCAGGGTTTGCTATTGACTACCTTCAACCAACATCTTATTTCAACATAGTGCACAAAATACCGAGTCACCTTGACTAGTGGCAGCATTGCAACTTGATCGATAGGATTCAATCGGCACTAAGAAGGACTTGACACACATGACAATGATCACTACCCCTTGATCAATCAATTGCGATTTAATCAATGTTAGACAACTATTGAAGATGATTATTTAATATTATAAATCGGTTGGAGTTAGATAGTGAACGATGTTGAATCCTCGTTCAGCGGTTTGTTTGGGGGTTAAAGATCAGCGCTTGAGACTCGACTACCTGGGTTCGATTCCTGTGTGTGTGAGATGGTGCATGCGTGAAATGCTAAAGAGTCACATACTACGACAAAATGGCAATCTAGTGCTTTCAGGTATTTAATGATGGTTTAACATGGATCGGTTTATGATTTGAATGCAAATTAATAATCTTAACAGCCCTCATGAAAGTAAGTCTCTGACGATTAATGAATGAAAAAACAAAAAATGGCAACTATTCGTTACCCTTTTCAATTAAACTTTAGATGTTAGTGGTAAGTTATTAACATTGAATGATGATTAGCAATTTAGACTTATTAAAGAAATTAGTAAATATTATTGATGTTCACCACTGGACTCGAACCCAGCAGGTACATCCAGCTGATGAAGTCTTAAATAGGACGAAACGCGTGTCAAACTGGATTCCACTACTACTAGCCACTATCCATCTTTGCTTAAAATGCTTGCGACTTAATAGTAATATCGAGGGCCATCCGTACAGGATGCACATATAACATCCTAAACAACAATTGGAAGATACAACTAAAACAACACTAAGTGAATTTGAATTCAATGCTCTTTCTTCTTATATCCAACACCAGGGAATAACAACACAGTCAAACATGTATTGCCTTTTAATACCTTCCATTATGATAATTACTTTTTCCTATCTTTTTTTCTTCTTTTAAGTTTCAGATATAGATTGTTCTTAATATCTACTTTGATATTCAGACAAGATAATTAGAATACTACTCTGATATACTGGAACGTTGTATGTTGGTTCACACGCATACACACACATACATACATACATGTATATTCCGTTATTTCTGTACATATCCATGTATGGTTTATCACTGTTTGTGTTATTTCGTTGTGGTAAACAGTTTCTTCTTTAAACAAACTATCATGTCAATAAAGGAAACTGATAGGATAAACAGAACATAGATCGTTTGACAAATCAAGAACATGTCAACTTTATTGAAATTGATCTATGTAAGTAGTGTTCTCAGCGGAGGATGAAATCAGGAAGAAGTGGAAGTGGATAAGACACACATTGAGGAATGCATCCAACTGCGTCATAAGGAAAGCTCTCACTTGGAATCCTCAAGACCAAAGGAGAAGAGGAAGATCAAAGAACACAATACTCCGAGAAATGGATATAGACATGAGAAAAATAAACAGCAATTGGATAGAAGTAGAAAGGAAGGTCCAGGACAGAGTGACTAGGTTGTAGAATGCTAGTCGATGGTCTGTGCTTCATTGTGGGTAACAGGTGTAAGTAAGTAGGTAAGTAAGTAGTGTAAATGTTTGCTTAGTTATAACACATATCAACATATACAAATGTATAGATAAATGTAAGATTAATTAAAGGATTGAAAATTATATGTCATCTAATTACTGAATGATAATCTGTTCTTGTTTAGCTAAATTTCTCATATAAAACAGTCATATACAGACCATCATGAAAAACCTGGAAACACTGGATGGTCGTTTCGTCCTATCACGGAACTCTTCAGTAGTGCAAATCGACGATCCCGTTTCGCGATATTCGGACCCAGGACCTATCAGTCTGAAGTGCAAACCTGTAACCTTTAAGCCAGTGAACTTGCCGGCATCATGAGTCAGAATAACAAACTCTTTATCGTTCAATAAATTACATAATTTCTATCATCTACTCATCAATAAATGTTGTTTACATTTAATTTAGAGAAACATGAATTAAAGTAGAAAATGATTATTATCAAATTTCAATTGAGATCATAAAGTGACCAATGTTAGACCATCATTATAAATCCGAAAATAATGAACAATCGTTTTATCTTAGTATAGGACTTTTTAGCAGTACGTATCTACAATCCTGCGCACTGGACTCGAACCCAGGAGCTTAAGTCTCGTGCAAACTCTTAACCTCTTTCAGGTTTTCAATGACGGTCTAACAGTAAACAGTTCATGATCTCGACTGAAAATCAACAATCTCCACAACCTTATACTGATAGTATTATTGAATTATCATTATGGAGATTTATGTAGATTGTAGTATTTTCACAGTTGAAATCATCAGTCTATCAATATTAGACCAACATTGAAAAACACGGAGTCATAGGCATTATATGCAAAGATGTATAGTGGCTAGCAGTGGAATCCAGTTTGACGTGCACTTCGTCCTATATGAGACTCGTCAGCTGGATGTACCTGCACCTTAGATTTCATGTTCACTTTGGGGCCTTTCGGTTCAAAAGCCATAGTATTACCCACTAAGCTACTGAGGACTGAGTTCGAGTGAAGAAGTGAACATCAATTTTTCGATACAGTTACATGCAACTGACGAGTCACAAAATAAGATGAAACGATCATCCTGAGTTTCACTGCTAGCCACCATTCATCTTTGAGCATAGCTTCAAATTTTCATTGATTAGACAGCTTGATTAGACTTAAGTTGAAGCATCTGAATATTCCACACCTATAACTCAATCAGTAAATGAACATATTAAATACAATTCACTAGAGAATTAGCATGGAATCAAATTCCTACTTATATGATACGTCTTTATGAGTTCAGTCTAGTTAATAATTTAAATCAACCTGAAACTAAGAAAATTTATCATTCACAAATTAGTGACTAGTACAAAGGTAAAGGATTAAACGTTGTGACTTATCGTTTTGATTAAAACTTGAATATGATCTCAGCCTTCAATGAACTAATCTTCACTAATCAAGATATGTTTACCAATTGTAAGACCCTATTTCAATCAAATCTTTTTTTATCTATGGTTCAGTGAACTATCCCGAACAGTACGTATCCACGATCCCGCACACGGGATTTGAACCCAGGACCTTCAATCTCGTACACGAACGGTGGTGCAATATCATGAATTTCTTGAAGTTAGATATTGACACCGTTGTACGCCGGCTGACTCAGTGGTCTAGAAGTTAAGCGTTCGTTCACGAGACCGAAGGTCCTATGTCCAAGTCCCTTTGGTATGGCATCGGTGATACACATTTCTGAAAAAACCCATACTAGGACGAAACGGTCTTCGAATGTTTTCAGATTTTCCAATGATAGTCTAGCTTATATCTACTCATGAATTTAACTAGTAAAATCACTTAACTCATCATTTTTTACACATCAACTGTAAGTTGATTCTCTAAATACTTTCAGATAAAATTGGTTCCTGTTGACTAACTCCAACCACTATCTTATCTCAACATAGTACACTCAATGTTGAGTCACCTAGACTGATGTCCATATTACAACTTAGGTGATATAATTCGATTTCCATTGAGAACGTCCTATCATACATGAGATTGATCACCACTCCATTATTAAATTAATTTCAATGTTAATAAGGATAAGACTATAATTTATGAACAAACCAATCAGATTGATGATAACAGATTGTTATAGCCCAAAGCCGCCAATCAGAAGCAGCGAATTATCGATCGGACCAAGGACGCATAAAACACGTGCGAGCAGCCTAGAGCCCTGATTGGTCCTAGTGAACTAGACAAGTATTACAATCTAATTCTGCCTCTAAACCCACGCGATCGCTCATTCTCGGACACTGTCCAGTCATTAAGCCAAGAATTCGGAGACAACTCCTACTATTCAATGCGCACTATCGATGTTTGAAGCTCACTATAAACGAAGATGCTGATTTTCTCACACATGTGGGTATAAAAGGATCCCAAAAGTTACCATTCATTATTCTTGTCGGGATATAACACAGATCTTAGATTCTGACACGAAATTCACTCATTCATTTGACGAAATACCTTTTTTTCATGATAGCTGATATTAGTTTACCATCATCAGTAACAAAAAGCCTTAGATCTAAATCTTAACTCTAACCATCAATTGTATATCAATAAACCTTATCCTTCCCACAGATCTATAACTCTCATTTAGTTCTAGTTGGTAGATGAACATTCACAAGTTTCATTTACCGTAGCTCAAAGACCTTCCATACTTTATATTTTCATCGTTTGTATAAATAAAGGATATCAATTCCAAAAAAAAAAAAAAACTGAATACATAAATATAGTTTACTTACTTTACCTGATAATAATTACTCTTAACAACAATATGACTCATTTATACGGGTGTGGTTATAAGTTTAATATCACTAATCCCATAGTTTATTACTTGTCAACGGAAATGTTTATTATTAACTATAACTAAGGTAATAGTAAACTGTATATTTCATGAATCAACTTCAATAAAAACAACAACAACAACAACGACGATAATGACGACGACGACGACAACAACAACGACGATGATGACCACGACGACAACAACAACAAAATCGATTGAAAAAATGTAATCACGTTTTATTTTGTTTAATTCAGTTTTCTTATTTAGATAATAATAAAATGAAT